CTCTCACATAGATGTTTCTCTCTTTCTCCTTCTCCCTTCCTCTCCAGAATCAATGAAAAACATATCCTCGGGTGAGGATTTAAAAAAATAATATTACCAGGGACTTAAAACAAGTTATTTCTTGGTCATATCTGATGGAGGTCTCCTTGGTCGCATTCCTCCAAGCAGTAACTCAGGGAACCAGGCCCCTTTCTAGTTTTGTATCTGACCCTCCATCCTACATATGGGATCTCCAAAGTCACCATGGAGTCACCATGGAATGGGGAGAAGATCATGGAGGACTTCGGAGAACTATGTAGGAGGTTTTGTGGCTACCCACACCCCCATTAGCCCAGACTCAGTCACACGGCCCAAATCTAACTGCAAGGGAAGCTGGGAAATGTGTTCTCAGGTGTGCCCAGGAAGAGGAAATAACACACAGCATCGGTGTCGCCATATACATTCTTGAGGTAAAGAAATAAAGATGTTTGGGTGAGAAACTGAAAGGAAAGCAGGTCCAGGTCTACATTTGGGTTCATAGAAGAAAACACAGGGTGAAGAAATCAGCAAAAGCAACAAATCAGGAGAAACAGCATCCCTTCCAGAGTCCTCATTGGTAGTTGAGGGTTTCTGGGTTCTTCACTGTGTGTGGGATACTTCCTCGAGACCCCATAAGACTCTACATGGCTCTGCCCTCACATCCTTCATGCCTCCTCTCAAACATCACCTCCTCAATGAAGCCTCTCTAACTGCCCACCCCATCACTCTCTAGCCATGCAACCTGTTTGATTTTCCTTCACAACCACCACTACTTGAAATCACATCCTATATAATAAAAACCCTGGGGGTAACACCACGACCCAAGGCTCAACCAACCGGAAGGAAGTCAGCCTGCAGGGGTTGTCTTGGAAACAGCTGCACCCTCCCCAAGCTATTTCCAGGAGCTGTTTCAGGTAAGGGCAAGGTTTGAGGCAGGAACCCGCCCTCGAGCGTGGAGGCATATCTTTATAAAGTGTGCCGTGCCAGCACGGCCAAGGGTGAACCTGAGTGGGGGTGGCTGAAAGGCTTAGAAAAGACAGACAAGAGAATGAAAGCTGGGTCTCGGTGGGACGCTGCTTCTCTGAGAGACAGCGACCACTCCCACAGCCGTGTCTTTATTTTATAGCAGATGCCACGAGGCAAAGTAAGGGCGTGATCAAGATGTTTACAACATTCTCCTGGGTTTCAATCCTACTCAACTACATGCACCTGAACTCTATCAAGCCTACATCACTCAGGCACATGGGGCCACGTGTTTGGACCATAGATTCAAGCTTGCAACTATAGCTGTTGGCTCTAATTGTGCTGGGAGGGCCCTGCCCTCCAAGCTGGGACTTGCACGTGGCAATGAGAGGACTGTGCCCTCTCATCAGTCCAAGGCTTGAACCTGTTCAAAACACTGTAGCGGCTCCCCACAATAAAGTTTTAATACATTATATTAGAGGTTGTGGTGGTACTATTTTACCCACAGCGTCTACAGGAATTGCTGCAAATTTACTTCTCGGTGGAAGAACCTTTCATTCCCAATATAAATGACCAACTCCATTAAATGAAACTTCAATTTCTAGACTTGATATAAACAGTGAAGTTGCTAAAACTATAAAAAGGCCCAACTTCTCATTATTGATGAATGCATCATGGCATCCGGTCATGATATAAACGCCATAGACAGATTACTAAGAGAAATTATGAATTTGAATGTTGTATTTGGTGGGAAAGTTCTCCTTCTCGGAGGGGATTTTCGACAATGTCTCAGTATTGTACCGCATGCTATGGGATCGGCCATAGTACAAACGACTTTAAAGTACTGTAATTTTGGGGATGTTTCAATAAATTGTCTCTTAAAACAAATATGAGATCAGAGGATTCTGCTTATAGTGAAT